TGTGTGCAGCATGTGTGTGTGTGTGTGCGTGTGAGTGTGTGAGTGTGTGTGTGTGTGTGTGTGCGTGTGAGTGTGTGTGAGTGTGTGTGCCAGCTATGACAAGGATGCCAGCTCCAAAGTTGGCTATGACACAACACAACACAGCACAATACACAACACAACACAACAACACAACACCACAGGAAAACACACACCAAAACACAATACACCGCAACAGCATCGTCGCACCGTTGCAATGTCATCGAAAGACACCCCGCCGACGCGTGTGTGGAACTGCACGAGCTCAGCGAGGACAGCGGTGGCGTTGCTGTCCAGTGCAGATCGGTACACGTCACTGCGCATGCGCGTGTGCATGTGGTCCTGCGGTGTCGTGAACAGTGTGCGCACGGCCGACTGTGACCCTTGATGGGTCAGCAAGAGTCGCACCATGGACGCATTCCCGTTCTCCACCGCCAGCTGCAGCGGTGTGGAGCCCTGACGTGTGGTGGTGGTGGTGGTGGTATGATGATATGAGGAGTGGTGGTGTGTTGAGTAGTGGTTGCTTCACGCAAACATCAGACGTCAGCGTGCATGCATGTGTATGAACACGCGCACTGCGTGTTCTGATGTGAGTGTGTGTGTGTGTACCTGCTTGTTTGTCTGAACTGGGCTCAGATTCTGGTTCAACAACACTTCAGCCGCAGGAAGGTTGCCTGACAGACGTGCACAAGTGGTTGCAGTGTGTCATTGTGTGTAATAGTGTGTGTTTCGATGTGCGTACGTGAGTGAGAACGGACGCTGCGTGGAAATGCACACCCAACTCATGGACTGACGATCGCTGTATACACACACACACACAACACACATACACACATACACACATAGCACATACACACACAGAGCACAACACACACACACAAACACACACACACGCAACCATACAATCACACACAACCATACACACACCATCCAACCACCACGCACCGACCAAGAGCCAATCACCCATCGCCCATCAGCCACCACCCGTACCAAGGCTGCATGCAAGGTGTAGCGGAGAGTTGCCAATGTCGTCGACACATGTGCAGTCCGCGCCAAGATCAGCCAACTCATCAACCACTTCACTGCCTGATGGGATGGAACGAGGGTGTGGGACGTGCGATGGACATGAGACGTGAAAGATGGAAGCGAGGATGAGAAAAGTCATTGTGAGCAAGTGGTGAGACGGTGCACTGATGGTTGGCGGTTATGGGAAATGCAAGGAATGCATGGCAACACGGATAGCGCAAACGCAAATGCAGAGACATAAACAAAAGGCACGCATCCACTAGAGAGGAAGAGTGAAGCAAATACACACGCGCACACACACATGAGAGTGCACGCACACACACACACACATATATATGCCAACACGCACAGAGCTGGTGGTCGTCCTGAAGAAACTGCACAGACGCGTGCACGAGACTGCGATTGTGGTTGCCGCGCTCCTGATGGTGGCAGGTGCACAAGATGTGTGTGTGTGTGCGTGTGTGTGTGTGTGTGTGTGTGTGGTTGGTTGAGCACAGTACGCTGTTCGTGTCATCACTGCATGAATGAAACAGCCACCTTCACACACAACACCGACAACTTAATCAGCAACACCACCACCACCACCAACACCACCAACACGATGCGTGCAATTGCGGCCAATACCGTTGCGTTGATGTCAGCGCCCTCACGAAGCAATCGCTTCGCCCGCTCAATGTCGCCAACCTTCACCGCTTGCGCAAGCTGACACGAGATGCAAGGGGCAGGACACAATATCCGCAAATTCACGCAAACACGCGCGCGCGCGTGTGTGTGTACGTGCGTGGATGGCACATGGTGTGCATGGCATACGCATGAGTGAGTGTTGTTTCTGTGTTGACAGGCAATGACAAACCGCTCTCTTGGGCGGTGATTTGCACAGGTACACACACACACACACACACACACACACACACACACACACACACACACACACACACACACACACACACACACACACACACAAACACACCTCGTTCCTTCCTTTCCCCCCTCCAACACAAGTTCTCTCCTCCCTCCCCCCCCCCCCCCTCCATCAGCAGCCGCCGCCATTTGCACACCTCTGCGTTCTTGCGGGCCTGATAGCCCTTCCATCCTGGCAGACGGCGCCTGAACGTGGCCTTGTTTGTCAACCGGCGGGTGGGTCGTGATCGCTGACGTTTCGCGTGGAAGTCAACAATGAGCACGCAAGGAAAGCGCAACACCAGACAAACTGCGTGTCAAGACGCACACACACACACGCACACACACACGCGCACAACATGCACACACACACAACATGCACACACATACGCACACAACATGCACACACAACACAACATGCACAACATGCACATAACACACATACGCACAACATGCATTCGCATGAACTGCATCCCAGAAACACACTTGCTCCCTCTATCTCACACCACCTCACCTGACTTCCAGAGCGTGGTTTTGAGAGGGGGCTGAGGCTTGCGGCGGAAGAGGCGGTTGACACCCGCTCCTGCCGCATGTTCCTGTTCCGTGGGTGCTGCCGCCCCGTGTTTCCAGCGCTGCCTGGTGTGCCCTTGTCGATGTTGCGGGCGCTGATGAGGTTGCTGCTGTTGCTGCTGCGCAGGTGCGCGCCCCCACGAGTCCCAGTGACGCTGCCGGTGCCACTTCTGCCCACCACGTTCAAGCCGAGGCGGGATGGGCGAGCCGAGGCCGCGGAGATGGCCACGCTGTAGCGCCTGCTTGTCTTGTCGTGCGCCACGCTGAACCTGCGCTGCACGTCAGCATGTTTGGGGTTCATGCTTTCTTCGGTGTTGCTGTTGTTGTTGTTGTGGTGGTGGTGGTGGTGGTTGATGCTGTTGTTCTTGTTGTTGTTGTTGTTGTTGTTGTTGTTGTTGTTGTTGTTGTTGCTGTTGTTCTTGTTCTTGTTGATCGCTGCTTGCCTGGTTGTTGAACAGCCGATACACGCGCTCGATCCGAAGAGAGACCAGGCAGTCCACCCCACTCAACTCAACTCAGCGACAAATCAATGCTGGCGTGATGTGAGTGGTGTTGATCGCGTCGCCCGCTTCTGGTTGTGCTCCGTCAGCCTTGTCTTGTTGAATGGTTTGGCTGGCCGTTTTTGGCTTCATCTGTTTGTGCTTCCTCACAACCGCCCACACACAGCCAAACACCCACACACGCACACAATCAGTGCCATCGCTCATATTCGCTTCTCGTCGGTGCACCGAAGGTCGTTGTCCGGATTGCTCTTAACAACATCACAAAATGTAGCGATTTTGCAACAGACAGTTTCCTTCCCTGCACGTACACCCTAGCTAGCCAGAACACACAACAGGCGAGAACGGCCGCCCACCGCAGAAAGTTGCGCGTGTCTTGGATGAAATTAGCAGCCAGAAGCAAACGACTTGTCGTTGTCACACTGCTCCCATCAACGCTATGCAACATCAATTATTTCACCGCGTCACAGCCACAGCCTTGCACACTTGCCGGCAAAGAACCTCGATCTCATGACGATGCACGCACCGCAACCAGCCTATCGGATGCATATTTATTCCCGCATGCGTCCTGTTGTTCCCATGCTCATGGGTGATGTGACAACATCATGTCTCACCGTACTTGCATCCAAGCAACAACGCTGTCCACTCATCAATTACAGCAGCAGTCCCATCCCTTGCACACTTCGCGACCCTCGTCTCTCCGTCTGTCTGCTACTCGTACACACACACACACACACGCACACGGTGACGCTGAGCCAACCACACAGCACACCAGCTTCCCACTTCGCAGCCATGCCTGCATCGCCCTCATCCTCGCTCTCACGCCGACCCTCAGCCACGCAGCATGTGGAAGAGCAAGCTGCTGCAACCGATGCCATCGTCGCAGACCTGCAACGACATCTGCCGGTTTTGGCACGACTCAGGCGTGCTCTCAAGCGAAACGACCGAGCCGTCATTCGCCGCGTGATGTTTCAGCTCTGCCTCCGACTTCGCAACGACAGTCATGCGTATGCTGAACCTGGCCCCTCTGGTGATAGCCGGCCGCAGGAAGAGGAGGACGAGGAACCACTTCATTTCGAAGAGGGACTGGAGCGCCTCGTGCCTGGACAGAATGCACCCAGCATTCACCGACAACAGCGAAAGGCTGGAAGACGACTGCTGCACGTATCCCCCAAGCTCGTGTCCGCTTCCAGTCCTACCCCGTCGTCAAGGGGCAAATCACCGCCACCATCGCCGTCACTAACAGCGACTGCACCAGCGGGGGTTGCAGCAACACCAACAACGCCGGCACCAAGCCGGCTCACATGGGCAAACCTCCCGCCGTGCTTTCCCCGTGCCATTACTCGAGACGAGCTGCCTCGCCACATGCAACACCGCCGCCGTGTGGACACATGGCTGCAACAACAACAACAACAACAACAACAACAACAACAACAACAACAACAACAACAACAACAACTTCAAACAACACCAACAACAACAACACCAACAACCAACCAACTCAAACAACAACATGATGTGTCCGCCCCTGCATTCGGCCCCCACGTCTGCGTGCCAACGGTGTTGCCAGTTTCATTTCCTGGCATGCAGCCCTTTCCTCTGTTGGCGCATCACCCACAACCACAGCAACAGCAGCAGCAACAGCAGCCACCACAACACCAACGAGGTGTAACGCCAATGAGTTTGGTTAACAACCAACAGCTGTGGCAAATGGCGCAGTTGCAGCGCTCATTCCTGCTCGCCCAGCTGTATTTTCCACCATCAGAACGCCTCAACGTCGTGCCATAAGGCGGCACATGCGTTGCTGTTTCTTGTAGTTTGCACGCATGTGCACCGGTGAAGAGAAGTGTTTATACATGTATACAATTCGAATTGTTTCCTGTTCGTGTGGTGTGGTGCTCATGCCTCGCCACATCCCCAGAACGTTCCTGCGGAGAACGCTTGCGACGTGCGTGTAACTCTATGCAAGCCTGCAGCGTATCTCGTCATTTAGTGTTTTGAACAAGTGTGGACAATAAATGACACAACCCACCATGAAAGATGGCCCACATCACACCCACCAGAACGCGGTTCACCACGCACACACACACACACACACACACACACACACACACACACACACACACACGCGCGCGCGCACGGGGATTCTTCGACTCTGCCATCCCAGCTCTCTTGTCACCACCACCATCACCAGCCATGACGAGGGGTGCCATCATCATCAGCATCATCGTATCCATGACCAGTCATGGCGGTTGCCATTGTTGTGGCTGCCCGCTGCATGGCTCGCACGGCCGCTTCAGCAGTCACACGTGTGCCTGGCACGCATGTTCCCACCGCCGTCGTCATGGTTGTTGCATCCGTTGCGGAAGACATTGGTGCTCCCGTCTTCGGTGGGGTCCATGCGTGTGGCGAGTCGTGGGCGGTGTAAGCACGTTCCACACCAACACCCACAACGCTGCTGTCCCTCTCCTGGAAATAGTGCGACAAAGACTCAGGTTGCAGCGGCCAGTGTTGCGGCGTGTGGTGTTTCCCACCACCAGCATCACCATCACCACCCCTGCCACGGTGAATGTGGCGTTGGTCAAGGTGGTGCACGGACGGTAAGGATGGCGGCATGACCCCCAGCGCAGCGCGTGCTCCCTTGCCGTTGCCGAATGTGGGGCTTACACCGGATCGAACAGCCATCTGCGTGTTGGTGTGATGGGCAAGCGGTGTCCTGTTTGCCTTGGCCGACCGCTGCTGCTGCTGCTGCTGTTGTTGTTGTGGCGGGGTGTCAGGTGTTTGGTGCGCGGGGCGTGCTTGATACGTTCCATCATCAGCATCAGCATCACCATTAACATATCCGCTCCTGAGATGCGCATCCACATACATGTGGAGCTTCTTCGGTGTTCCTGTGCAAACAGCGTTGCTTGGGGTGGTGGCAGTCGCACAGCGCGTGTGTCGTGGCTGCTGCTGCGGTGACAACACGGCTGTGTGAAGCACACGCAACCCAGCGTCCACGTTGGCAGCATCAGCAATACCTTGCCGGCGCTGCTGCTGCTGCTGCTGCTGTTGTTGTTGTTGTTGATGTTGTTGATGTTGTTGTCGGTAGTGCTGGGCAACACGTGCTGTCATCGCTGCTGAGGTCCCACGCACCGCTATCGCCGGTTGTGTATGTGTCGACGCAATGTATGCCGGGAGCGTCGTGTCGAGGTTGCCGCCACGCACGTGAGGCCACCCATCACCACCACCACGACCATCGCGACCAACACCACCATCGTCGCCATGGCGGAGATCGGGCAGTAGTGATGGCCACGTCGTGTTGCCACGATCAGCACCGGTTTCCACGCGCACTCGCACATCACCACGCACATGCACAGCATTCTCACCAGCCTGGTGGTGGTGGTGGTGGTGATCATGCTGTTGGGGGTGAAGTTGGTGGCGAGCGCGTGTGTGTGGCGAGAGGAGAGCATATGCCCGCTTGTGGGGCGATGCGTTTGGCGTGGAAGCCATGGCCATCCACCCGGCAGCCGTGCCATGCTCGCTCTGCTGCCGCCGCCTCGAGAGCACACTGTCATCGCCTGTGCCACGCATGAGGCTGCTGTCTCCCCCGTTGCTCTTGCTGTGCTCGTGAACACCACATTCACCAGCACTTCTGTCTGCAACATTGGTGTCCGCGACACGGCCACCGCCACCGTGGTTGGTGTTGGGTCCCCACACCTCCACAGAGATTGCGCTGGTCGACGTCTCATGACTGTCGTGACTGTCGCTCCTGATGTCATTGCCATCATCTCCGTTGTTGCTGCCAGCGTTGCTTCGGGTATGGACGGTGCACCCATCACCACCACCATCACCATCACCACCATCTCCATCACGACGGCTTGCCGTGTTGCGTGGCGCGTGCGATGACGCGGCTGATGACGGGAATGACACCGACAGCGACGGTGCGAGCAATGCCGATGATGACGATGATGACGATAGAAACGACAACACAGTCGGGGACGAGGGGTGCTGTGCGGAATGGACCGTGGAAGCACGACAGTCGTCATGACGGCCGTCACCACCACCACCACCACCACCATCATCATCATCATCATCGCCAGGATGGCGAGCATGCAGACTGTTGTCATCATTGAAATCGTCTCTGGCAACGCTCCCGTCATCATCATCACCATCCCCATCACCACCATCACCATCATCTCTGTCGTTGTCGCTGCGTGCACGCATCCATCTCTCCTTAATCTCTCGCAGCAGATTTCTATCGCCGCCAACACGATCATGTGTGTCAATGCTGGACGCGTAGGCCGCACCTGCAGTGTACGGCATACCACCTCCACGCGTGATACTGCTGCTGCTGTTGACGTTGGTGTTGTTGGTGTTGTTGTTGTTGTTGTCGTTGTTGTTGTTGTTGGGCGTTACGTGGCGTGAAAGGTGCGATGGTTGAGACTCTCGCACCACTCGATACGCAACACCTGGCTCAGCAGCCATTGTCGTGGTAGTTGTTGTTGTTTTCGACATCGTCTCAAGTGTTGCCACTGGCAGAGAAGGCTGCTGCTGCTGCTGCTGCTGCTGTTGTTGATGATGATGATGATGATGCCCTTGATGTGATGACGCTTCGCGGATAATGACGGCGGCGTTGCGTTGGCCAGTGGCAGTACTGCAATAGGCAGACACGTCTGCATTGGCTGTCGTGTGTGCGTGCCCTTCCTCCACCATGTCCAACAACGCCTCAAGCTGCCCCAGCTTCGCACTTGCTGCCAGCCCGGCATGTGTCAGTGCCACGCAAGATGCATCTTCGTCATGGCTGTTGCTAGTCCTGCTTTCATCAGCGCCGCGGCCGCTGTGACCATCGCCACCACCACCACCGCCACCATCATCATCATCATCACGGAATGACTGCAGCAGCAGGCTGTCGTCATAGCCAGTGTACTCATCATCATCACCACGATTGCGATTGCCATCGTGAGCACTTCCATCACCGTCACGTGCACCCCGCCCATTGTGCAAGATCAGAGCCTGTGCACCATCACCATCACCACCATCACCATCACCATAATCACATCCATCGTTGCCACCACTTCTGCGATCACTGTCTCCGCTCCGCTCGCTGCGTGCGTCGTCGTTGTAGTCGTGGCTGCCATCACTGCCATCACTGCCATCATCGTTGTTGTCGGACAGAGAGGCGTTTCTGCTCTTTGGCGCAAACGAAATCACAGACACCTTCCGCACTCGTTGTTGCTGTTGTTGGTGTGGTCGGTGTTGTGCTTGTCGCTGCTGCTCATGCGGTTGCTGTCGTGTTTGCCACATGGGCGTAACCTGGTCACCACCACTGCCATCGCGCGTTGGTTGTGCGTGCACTCCCTTTGACGGTGCAAAGACGAGTGAGTGCACGCCACGTTGTCGCTGCCGTTGTGTTCGTGCTGATGGGTGCTTCCCATGGCACTGCTCGTTGCGATGCACCAAGGGCTTGTCCTGATGGTATTGGACGTCGTCATCGCCCACGTGTTGCTTGCCATGTTGCCGCTGCTGCTGCTTCTCCAACTGTTGCTGCCTCCCTTGTTGTTTCTCCAGCTGTTGCTGCTGCTGCTGCTGCTGCTGCTGCTTCAAGTCGTCAATCTCGTGTCTGCAGGCATCGACCAGCTGCAACAGGCGCCGGTTTTCGCGCCGCAGCCCCGCCTCCGTGCGCTCACGCTCAGCACACACCTCCTCCATCTCGCACACGCGCCGCTGCATGTCGACGAGCTGTGCGCGCACGCGTGTTGCTGGGTACGACAACACCTGCTGTGCGCTGGGGCGACGCGTCGGTATCTTGTGCAGCATCAGCGACACGATAAACTGCAGTTCAACGCTGAAATCGGTCGGAAGTTCCGGTGCCGCATCCTTCACGATGGTTCCTGTAGTGCGTGTGTTGTATGTCGTGTATGTGTGTGTGTGTTGTGTGTTGTGTGTTGTATGTCGTGGTTGTGTGTGACGTGAGGAAGAAAAACATACTCGAATGAGGTGGCAGCTTTCATCACACACACACACAGACACACAGACACACACACAGAAAACGCAGAGACACAGACACACACATACACACACATATGCAAACGGTTCTGTCGTGACGCACCTCTGAGCCTCTGATGTGTGCGGGCGTTGAAGGGGGTCTTGTTCGTGCACGTTTGATGCACAACGCAGCCTGTGCATTTGGACACGCGCAGCGGCAGCACACCGACCGACCGTGATGTTCCGATGGGGAAAAGTGAGCAGTAGCAAAGAGTGCAAGCGCACACCAATCAGTGTCCGCGAGCATGCAGGACACTAATTTGCTCGTATGCAAGCATGCAAACACGAACAATCATCAAAAGACAACTGTCAATCATCTGTTGATCAGTCACAACAACACCACCACCACCTTCATCATTGTCACCACCACCATGACTGTGCATTGCTGACCGAGTGCCCAGATGTCGATGGCTGCGGTGTAGTCTTCGCCAGCATACATCTCGGGCGCCATGTACAGCGGTGTCCCCACGTGCGACCGCGCCAGCGCGCGTCCCGAGGCTGGACACCACATTGGACCAGGAGGGGATGGGGTGATGGGAGTGAGCGTGAATGATGGGAGTGAATGTGTGTGTGTGTGTGTGTGTGTGTGTGTGTGTGTGTGTGTGTGTGTGTGTGTGTGTGTGTGTGTTGACTCACCGAGCACTTTGCCGAATCCCAAGTCGGCAATCTTGAACACGCGATAGCCGCGGGCACACCTGCATGACGATGCATGGTGGTACCGATGGTGGTGAATGACAGATGGGGTGGGGCATAGAGACGAGCACACAAGTACGGTTAACCGCACACACACACAGGCACACAGGCACACACCACACACACACACACACACACACACACACACACACACACACACACAATACAATGACCGCCACCACTCTGCTCCGTGTGACGCACGTGGTGACGAGGATGTTCTGTGGCTTGATATCACGGTGGATGATGTTGCGGTTGTGGAGATACAGCAGCCCGCACGCCTGCTGCGTCAACACGTCCCACGCAACTGCCTCAACGTCGGTACCCTGGTGACGAGAGAGCGAGCGAGCGAGGGAGGGAGGGAGAGAGAGAGAGAGAGAGAGAGAGAGAGAGAGAGAGAGAGAGAGAGAGAGAGAGAGAGAGAGAGAGAGAGAGTGTGTGTGTGTGTGTGTGTGTGTGTGTGTGGGAAGGGGAAGGGGAAGGGATGGCAAAGAGGAATTAGATGACAATGTCAGTGCGAGGGAGCATGTGTGTACGCTTGGTTTTCTGTTTGTACATTGCGTGTGTGCATGTGTGGTGCACACTTCAAGGCAACCAAGAGCAAGTCTGTCAGGAGCGTTGAACGGCAGTGATGAATAATGATGAATAATAATAATGATGATGGTGGTGATGATGATGGTGGTGATGATGATGATGATGATGATGATGATGATGATGAATAATGATGATGATGGTTGCTCACCTGAAGGGTCCCCTTGGCCTTGGCGGCGTGTATCTCGTCGGTGAGGTGGAGCAAATCCCCACACGTCGCAAACTCCTGACGGCGTGATGGTGGTGGTGGCGGTGAGTTGTGGTGATAATGGCGATGGTAGCCGTGATAGTGGAAATGAGACATGGGGGCACGTGTCAACAACACTTTGGGGGGGGGGGAAGCAGAACTTCCACCACATGTGCAAGCAATTATGTAAGCAGCGACAACAGCTGCACATATACACATCGCTTCCATGCACACACCATGACAATGTGCATTGTGTTTTCTTCGACAAACGACGCGTGGAACTGAATGATGTTCGGGTGCCTGGTGGTGGTGGTGGAGATGACGATGATGATAGTGGTGTTTGAAGGGAAATGAAGATGCGTCAAGGAGTGAGTAACTGCTTCAACGAGCGCGGATGCATGTGGAAACACGTGATGGTTACACACACAGAGCGGTGAAGGCATGGGATATGCGAGGTGGGAGAGTGCAAGGATGCACACCACAGGATCAGCAGCAGCAACAATAGCAGCAGGAACAACAACAACAACAACAAATACTAACTCGATGCGGGACATGATGTCGACCTCCGACAGCACGTCGTTCAGCTCCTCTTTGCGAAGACCAGTCAACTCAACCTTCAAACAGACATGGCGATGGAATGAGCTCACAATGTACAGCGGGCACGCGCGCACACATACCCATACATGCACGCAGACACACACACACACACACACACACACAGACACACACCTTTGCTTGCACCTCCTCCGCTTTCCTTTCATGCCTCACTCACTCACTCAACGCACAACACAACACACAATTCGCAACACACTTTCTTTACGACGCATGTGGCCGAGTCGTCAATGTTGCGGGAACAGCGCGACAAGTACACGTCGCCAAACGACCCGCGCCCAATGCGCTTGATGATGGGAAAGTCAGACGCGTGCAGCTTCGCAGGTCTTTGGTGCTGCTGCTGCTGTCGTTGCGTCTTCTCGTCTTTGCTTGTGGTTGCACTCTTTGCGTGTGCTTGTGACCGCGGACATGCCACGCCGTGACCCAGCCGCTGCCGATCAAGTGGTGGCTGCGTCGGGCGGTGATGCCTTTGCGTGATGGCGCTTGTTGTTGGTTCGCCTG